CTCTTCCCACCGTCGCCCATGCGACCTCTCAAATGACCACCTGCAGAGAAACAGAGACCCAGAGAGAGAGAGAGAGAGAGAGAGAGAGAGAGAGAGCATATGTGTGTGAGAGAACGAGAGAGAGAGAGAGAGGTCGCGGCTACATAACTGGCGCTGCCGCTGCGGTTTACTGGGACCGTCGATAAATCATGTCAGGTGTAGTACAGGGGGGAGAGAGAGAGAGAGAGAGAGAGAGAGAGAGAACGAACGTGTGTGAGCGAGAGCTACTTATTTGTGCGTCGACGGAAGGCGCGGGCTCCCCGCCCTGACCCGCCCCGCCCCGCCGTACGCCGCGATAGATACGGGGCTCCAATCCGTTTCGTTTCTGACGCGCGGCGGAGGGTGGGACGCGGCGCGGGCCGGAAGTGCTTGAGCGTGTTGTTCGGCGCCTGCAGCGGAAATTTAACGGAAGCGCTCTTTAGCGAATGGAAGCGGCGAGGCGGAGAGAGGGGAGGCGGGGGAGGGAGGCGTCGCGGACACGAAAGGGTTGACTTGCTGCGTCGAGATCCGGACTTCAGACTTGTCTTTTCCTCCCCGTAATCACCCTGAGGGCGGAGCAGAAGACAGGGGCTGAATAACACCGACGCAAACGACTTCGCTCGCTGTAAACTCATCATGATAGTGTTTGCGCGATTCTGTCGCTCTGAAACAAATTGCCGCCAATCTAAGAGGAAAAGGACCAAGAAGAAGTAGCAGAAGAAACAAATATACCACGGCACGACTACGCGGCGCTGGGGTGTGCTGTGTGTGGCTCGCGGACAAACGTACTGCGTGTCAATGGGACCATTACCTGTGGGTACCGGCGGGTACCGGCGGGTACCTCGAGCGAGTACCACGGGACGGTGTCGGGACCGCGAGTCAGTACCGGGAATTGAGACCTGAGAGATGATATCGGCAGCGACGGGTAGTACGACGTACCCAACGCGAAACGACGGAGCAGGGGAGGGCAGGGGGGAGGGGTGCGCCGAGGGTGCATGGGCCCGGACGGCTGCTTGTCGCGCGGGCCGGGGTGGGTTTGGGGGATCATCGCCGATTGTTTGGGATGGTTAGGCTTGTTTATCAGATTCGTCCAGGATATCTCGGGAGTGGCTTCTACAGTGTGCGCGCTGCCGCGGTGCGGGGGGAGGGGGAGGTGGCGGGACGGGGTTGGGATGCTGCGCCGCGTGCGGGAAGAGATTGGCCGTGGCCGGGGGCAGGGGGAGCGAGGGGAGGGTGCATGCGAGGGAAGGGACCTTAATTGGCGCGATTATCCTTGTTAGCATCGAGCAGCGCTGCCGTGCGCGCAGAGGGGGATGGGGACCGGCGCGAGGCTAGAGGCAGACGCACGCGCCCCACCGGTAAGTACATTTAGCAGCGCGCGCACCTGTACTGCAAAATGGCCGAAACTGCTCTTTTTGTGCGGCTTTTCCGCGTTTATAGGAAACCGGTCGTACCAGCTGAGAGAACAAGGAGGGAGGAGAAGGGGTTGAAGGGGAGCAGGGCGGTGGGGGTCCATACGCGGCAGGATACTGTCATCAATGGTCATTTTGCTGACGTAACTTTTTACGAGTCTCTCTCCCTCACCCTCCCTTTCACCGCTGCCCGTATGAATTGGAATGGCGCGCGTTATTACTCGCTCCCCTCGGCCCGCTGATATCAATTCGCAGGCCGCGGTATCACTGGCGGGCCCACTGCTATTTAATATTGCACAATCTGTAAAAGAGCACGGTGACTCGAAATGAAATGACTCTATACGCAATCTTTCTCTCATTCATTTTCCTGCATCCTACTAAAAAAGGCGGTTCGGAACTCACGGTCTTGAATGCCTAGCTTGGTGGGTACGCCGTTGACAACATGACGGAAATGGGGCAGATCGGATGTGGCCATAGTGCAGCCTGCGAGAGGTCTCCTCCTCTGTCAGCCATCGTTGTTAAACTCTCCAACTCTCGCAATTATTTACCACAACAACCGCGGCCTCCTCAGTGATGGCGCTGCAATCTCATTTAATATGGTTTCGTCTCCGCAACCACTAAACTTTATGTTTTTCGCCGGTCGCCCCGCACCGGCCACCACC